CTGTGATCCCCACATGGCAAAGTTAAGACGAGAAGCAAACGTGCTTGCCACAGTAGGAGTTGTAGAAGGAAAAACAATCACAGCAGCTAACGTTATGGAGGATTTCCTATGGCCGACGTGTTGTTCTGAACCCGCTCCGCGTGTTATCTCTTTTAACCTTCACTGCAGCCCGCTGGCTGGGCTCACCCTTGTCCTCATGGAGACCAGGAAGCTGAGGCCCACGGAGGTCTGATGTATCCGGCGAATGGGTTGGAATAATAATAGGACATAAATTGCCACTGCACTTTTATATTGTTGATGACAGTGTATTTACGTTGTTTATTGAATATTTAATAAGTCACTAGTTAAAAATACATTTTTCTTTATTTTAAATTTAATACTATTCTCTTCTTTTTAGGATGTTCATTTTGTTTAAAGAAAATCACGTTTTGATTAAATACCTGATTTTGAGGCTGCTAAAATGTTTAAAGTTTTATGTTCAGTTTCTCTGGCTGAAACATTTTTTTTCTGCACACGCATGTTTTCCGCCTTCAGTCCCAGAAGGAAAATTACATCTCACAGATAACTTACACTTTGTTAAATGCCGACCTTTGTAAGTTTTTCTTTATTTTTGTTTTTGAAATGATTAAGATGTATCCTCTACAGAATTGGAATTGTAACTTATAAAAGTACCGAGAAACTTGAACCCTGTTATAATTATTCTGCAAACCTTTAAAGGGATCTATAGTCAGAACAACTAGATGAAAAACTCTGATAGACTGAAAAATATAGAGGGTCATTTGTAAGCTGCAAGTTCCTGACTTGTGTTTCCCGCCCACTCGCTCGCTGTGCCCCTTTCGTCTCAGAATGGTTTCCTACCCTGAGTTCGTGGGAATTGGGAAGGACACTGCTTGATTCATTCTGTGGAAGTACTGGGGATCTTGAAAAAGACAAGATGGGCCAGTTATGTCACTTCCTGTCGCCTGATCAAAAGTTTGATGAAGCAACGGGAGTAACTGAGAGCCGCTGCTGGGCAGCGGGCAGTTGCCTGATGATGACCCCTGGTTCTCAGTGGGGCCTGTCACGTCGCTGTGACCTCTGGTCTCTTTAGAAGTGCCTGATGTTGGCAGTGGGTCTGCTCAAGAGCCTGGCCTTTTGGAACGGAGCTGTGTGCTCCCTGCAACAAAGGCGGCTGGCTTGTGGACGCTGGATTAAGGCTGCAGAGGAAATCCTGACCAGTCTGAGTGTTTGGGTCTCATCTGCACCTGTCTTTCTGGCTCTGTCAGGCCAGTTTCATCTCTATCCCCAGGATCCCAACAGGCATCATAAGTGAGATGGGCTAAATACGTAGAATATACGAGTTCTTCCCCTCCAGCCACTGGGCCAAGACAAGGTGCTCCTGGGTAGTTTTATATACCAATGGGGAACTGAATCTCTGAGAAAAGGAACAGAGTCCTAGTGAATAGAGTGGGGGGGGGGGCAAGCTA